GAGGACAATGTTTATTTCTAAGTTTGGGAAGGGATAGCAAGTCTTTTTCGGTTCACTTAAATTCTTGCTTTCTTTTATTTTATTTTCTTTTCAGTTTTGAGTCCTTTTTTTTTCAAGTCACTTTCCGGACATATATGATGAGATTGTGATGAATGTTTACATAACTTGATTGAAATGTTTATAAAAATAAAAATAAAAAATTTACTATTCACTAAATGGCATCGTTCTAGCATGATATGTTTGAAACCTTCTATGCACTTGCCATTTGTTTCATAATTCTCCAGTTGAGGGACTTGCATGATCCAAAGAAATGTATCAAGCATGAATTAGACTTGTATAACCATATAATGTGAGCTTTGAGCCTTATGCTTCAATTCATGAGTGTTATACGTATATTCTTATTTTCTTGTTGTTTGTGCCTAATAAATCACGGCCATGAACTGGCCGAAGGAGCCCTTTTTCTCGACCCTAGCACTTTCTCGAGAAGCTAAAACGCAGCATTTCGCCAAGGTGCTTTGCCTTCCTGAAGACAAAAGAAAAACTCCAAGGCATGTTCATCTTAACAGGGTGCTTTGCCTTCCTGAAGACAAAAGAAAAATGCTAAGGCATGATCATCTCGGCCTCGAGTGCAGGCCGAGGCCGAGGCCAAGCAAAATCGCGGCTAGAAATATTAAAGTCAGATCATCACGTGATAGCAGGGCCCCATGCTTCATTTAATGAAGTAGTGCCTGTTTAATGCAGCAAACCCACTGGCCACAAATAAGCATTTAATGCATGAGGGAAGGTGAGAAGTGACTGAAGTCAGGTTTTGGCGACAGAAGACAGAGTGATTAGACGTAGACATTCTCACAAGAATCCTTGCAGCTTGAGATATTAGGTCACCAGCTATCAAGGCCATAAATGCGTCTCCACGGCCGGAAGCGCAGAGTCCATGATCGGGGCGGCGGCCGAGATTCACCAGGATTTATGGGGTCACACCACCATACTTCACGATCCCAAATGTCGATTAAACTACCCATTTGCTCTAATCAGGCTCCACCATGTGGATTTTCAGCCTCGATTACTCCTCTAGGAACTCTTCCTATAAATACAAGGCTCAAGCTACATTCAAAGGGTTCAAACACCAAACCAAAGCCTCCCACGGAGCAACTTATTTTTTCCTGTAATGCACTTTCAATATCTTTACTTGCTTTCCTAGGAGTAGTATTATACTGTAAGGAAAAATTCATTCATCAATATATCATACGACCCTTGATTTTCAAGGCGCCGGAGCACCATCCCTGTTGTTCATTCACTCACCTCATATATCATACGACCGTCGCTCCCTGAGCAACGCGCCGGAGCACCGCCCAAAACCCACCACCAACACCATCACTCAACGGCCTTGTAGTTCAGGCCGTGAACCTAACAGCCGAGACTAGTTCCTCTCTCGGCTACAATCGTTTGATTAGAAGACGAGTTCAAACAGGCGCACCACTTATCCATCCTACACTCATCAACATCTCGACGCACGGTAGACCATGCTGGCACGCCCGCGAACAACTGCACCGCACCCAAAAGCAGGAAGCCGCGTGTCAACGCATATCCCCTCGGCCCGGAACTCCAGGCCGTGAGATTTGCGCGGCAGACACTTGTCATCCGAGTTATTGTTTGATCTCATTATTCATTGACTTGGTTGAACACTTAAAAGACATTCATTCTTATGCAATTTGATTACATGACATTTGAAAAATGGTATTAAGGCCCTCTTTGGACCGTTTGTGCCTTTCAAGCTAACCGTATGCATGCTTAAGCATGATTTTCCATTGTAACCACTTTGAGCCTACATGTAAACCTTTTCTTTCATTTAACCAATTATTAGTCCTAGCTTTAGCCTGAAAAACAAGAATTTACCTTTCTAAGGAACTCATGAGCTCTAATGTGTTTTTTCATGCTAAGTTTGGGAAGAGATATTACTATTGAAAAAAAAAAAAAAAAAAAAGAGAACTTCACTCAATTGGTGAAAGAAAAGAGAAAAGTTGTGGTTAAGTGACAATGGATTCAAATTTCAATTCCAAGTTTCGTTATTGGCCACAAAATAAATTGATGGTTGTTCAAATGGAAGAAAGGAGTGTGAATCTTAATAAGTGGAGGTATAAGGCTTTGTGGTCTATTTGATCACCTAAAAAAAAATGAAAATTTTAAGCATGGGGATTCAAAGTCTTGTAATCAACTGTTTTATGCTCTTACATTGTGAGTTCCTTGGACTTTGTTGTATCCATATCCTTCATTTCTTACCCACCTTACACCCTTAGCCCCATTACAACCTATAATAAAGACCTAAATTTATCATAAATGTCATGTGGTTGAATTGCACACATTCTTCTTCTTTTAAGTGTTTAGCATCCTTCTTGAGATCATTTCATGCATGTTTTTCATCCTTCTATTGTGAGTTAAGTCTCTTATGGTTTAACTCTATTCTCATATTTATTATTGAGTGATGCATTGTAACCCTCTTCCGAGTGATTCATTTGTGAGAGGACAACTTTGGTGAGATTTGAAGTTACATTTGTGCTTGGTATTATTTTCGAAGTTGTGTGAAAACTGAAATTGGAGAATGAGTTGAATTTGGCCATCACACTACTACACTTTGAGCATGTTGTGTTTTGAACTTTGCTGCCTTGTGAATGATGTCTAAATTGAGTTTTTCTTGTGAAAACTTTTAAGTCATTTGCGTGAGTCGCTCTCTCTTTGGAAAGTGTTCTGAAAGTTTTGTTTCGAGTCTTGTTTTAGTTTCTGTTTTGCTCGAGGACTAGCAAAAGATTTGTTCGGTTCATTTTTACACATGATTTATCATGTTATTCACCCATTATTTTGAGTTAGTTCTTGACATTTTATAGCTTTTTACTTCATTTTTGTGTTTTCATAGGTTTTACCTTAGTTAGAATGAAAATGAGCTAAAAGTGCATTATTGGTTATATATTCTGATTTTTGTTCATTTTCGTAGGTCAACTTCGTGGCCTTGGATCAGCATGCTCTGTTGCTTGGATGAGGTGATGATCTTCATGAAACTTATTCCAATGGATGTTAACTACAACATATCCGAATTTGACCTCCATTGGACAAGTGTAGCATATCCAACTGATCTAACAATTGATGCTGGCTCTGGAAGTCTGTTTTGGGCCAATTTTCACCCCCACTTAATAGCATTTTATTTCTACTTGTTACCACACCATTTGATAACAATGGATTGCATTTGAGTGGGATTTCCTGAGTCAAATGGAGCCTTGGAATATACTTTAAAACAAAGCTTCATCATTTGCAAGGAGACAAGAAGACAATGGGTGAAGACTTTGGAAGATAATATTAAAAGTAAAAGCTGGAAAGTGAGCTGGAAATGATGGGCAAAGGCAAAGGGATTGCAATCTGATTTGGGAGAGCTTTTGAACGTGGGATTCATCCTTGGTGTGATATTGAGCAGGTTTTGGAGCAAAAAGAGCTAGAGGAGGAAGAGGGGAGAAGACTTCTACCATTGAAGACTTCAAGCTTTCATCATTTCCAAATCTGTAAACTCTTTCTAGTTATATTTCAAATTTGTGTTTGAAATGATTATGAGGAACTAAACTCCATAGCTAGGGCTTAGGTTGAAGCCCTAAACATGATTACCTTATTGTTTTGATGCTTGAGTGTATGAATTTCTAGATATTGTTGATGAATTCCAATTCACCAAATTAATCTATCCTTGATGTGTGTTTTTCCTTGGTTGGCCATCTTTGAAAGCATGCTTCTTGAGATTGTTGGGATTATGTGTATCTTCATGTTAGCCTAAGCAATAAATGGATGAAGTAAGAATCATTCATGTGAATTGGTTTCTTGAATACCTAATGTAAACACCATGCTATTAGGATTCATGTGATGTTCATATTCTCTTTGAACTTAATGGGTTTTCCTTGTAATTGAATCGAAGTACGAACCATACCTAGGTTCGGTTATGGGGAGGGCACAAGTATTGTAGCACTAACCACGCACTTTACGTATATTAGAGAGAATCAATGCGTCTTGAGCCACGACCCATGGTCTTGATTGCGAACATCTTCATCAACACGTTTAGAGTTCATCACTTAAGTATTCATGAACATGGGTAGAATTGTTTAGGGTGGATTCCGAAACCCTAGTGTTTGTTACTTTTTAATTTCAAATTTTGATAATTCATCTATGCCATTCTCATTTAAATTCAAAGTCCATTTACTTTCATGCAATAGAAATAGGTCACTTGAACCAAACCAAAACCCCTCCCCCCCAAATGTGTGTGTGAGTTGTGTGTTTGACACGTTGTGTGTCTTGTTTACTGAATTTTATTTGTTTCCGTAATTGTTTTTGACTTTTGGTTTGCGATGTGTTCTTCCATTTTCTGTGCTGAATCCAACCGTATAAAGAACGTGAATTTTGGACAAACGGTTGGAAAGTTATAGGTCAAAAATTAGACAGAGATTGAAACTGAAAAACAGAGAAAACGACTCTGTGCAAAAACGACCGGTCGCTTTTACCTCACGACCGGTTGCCAGCCATTGTTCATGCACTGTTCACAGGTGATAAAGTGGTGATAAAATGGTGATAGAAAATGTTGTTTGTGTTTTTCTTTAGTTTTCTTGTGTTGTTTCGTTTCTTTTACACTTCTTTACTCATTTTTAGTTTCCATTTTGCATTTGTTCATTTGTGGTGTGTCAAATAAGTGTTCTTTACGTACTCAAATTAGAACTTATAGGAAGCCGACAAGTTCTTCGTGGAATCGACCCCGTACTTACATAATCTATACTTCATTAGATTCGTACACTTGCGGGTATTTTTAATTAGTTGTTTGCACATTAAATTGTGTCCTTTTAGGAATGCAACAACAATTACTGTAGTATAGATTATGAGACCTTCAGAAATCATTCCTCAGGTTATTTGATGCATTTTGAGCAGCATGACAGTTGAATGGTACAAAATTATTAAAGAGGATGTTTGTTAGAAAGTACGCTACTAAATTACATTGTTTAAAGGTATCCAAACAATAATAGATACTCATGTAACTAAAGTATTATGTCAAATGACACCATAACTCCTAGACTGGAACACATGGACTCAAAATCATACAATTATCGCATCCTTAATAGGCTATGCTAGAGTTCTATCAAATTCAAACATATTAGCTCCCGAAAGTAATCTCATTCGTGAAATTGACAACATCCAATAAAAGGCAATACGACATATACTATTCGAGAACAACTGGTGCATCTACATTATCACCATCAAGCTTGTCTAGAAATTCAGATGGGATGTCACCTCTGAGAATTTGGACTCTGAGTACTAGCCTCGCATTGCTGCACTCCAGTTGTTCAAACACACATGCATCTCCAACCTTCAAATTGTTGTCAATGGCAAACGCTCTCCAATTATCAAGCCTTTTATAACTTGATGATCCATGATATATCATCTCCCAGTTCTTGCCTCGAAATGTGAGAACCGTAGGGATTGAACATGAAGGTAGCGTTGCACTAAATTTGCCTGGGACCACCTGCTCGTATTTATTTCAACGAATTAGACTAATTAAAGCCAAGAAAATGATAATCCCAAATTAGAGAATTAGCAATGCACAACATTATTGCCTACAATTGCAAAGAAAAAGAAAGTTTCAGCAATAGCCAGATTATTTTTCGCTTGAACAAGGCAACCATTTATTTAAAACTAAGACATATGTGCAAATTAACCATACATTACGCTCATCAAACAAATTGTTATTTCATTGCAATGGTCAATTGACAACTATGATCATGTTGTTAGAATACTCAGACTATAATCTGATTAATTTTGGATTATTGGTAGATGGAGCTCAGGTAAGAAAAGGAAACACAGAGAGCTTGGAGAAGAAGATGAGAAAATGAAGTCTATTCTCTCACTCAGTCACGCACAAGCTGTGCAGCAAAGTATAACAGTTGGGTTCTTACATCATCCAAATCTAGCCATCAATTTCACTATCCTATGAGATAGCAACACATGGCAGAATTCGTCAATACACCTAAGAATACATCTTAGCTGTCCATTGGACTGTGATCCAATGGTTCACAATTAAGTCAATACAATTAAATCAAATAACACAAATACTCAGCTAACACACTTATACTTTAACACATGTAGATTGGCACCAATAGTTAAGAAATTGACATAGGAGGAAGTCTCACCACCATTTAAACATGGGAAATTAGGGGATAATTTACCAGTTGGTACATGGGTTTAATAGTTGTTTTCGTCAGAACCACATCAAAAAAAAGTTTCCCAGAAAGTGGCCAAAATTCATCCCCTTCCAATTCAATCACAGGATTTGATGTGGGTAGATCTCCCATTTCATAAACTGGAAATTAACAAAGAAATTATCTCCAAAAACAATCATAATACTAATGAAAACATACCCAATAGTACAAACAAAACACAAAAAACATCTTATGATGAAAAAGCGATCATGAATTTTAAAGGTTACGGAAAGTTGCAAAGAATTTCACAGAACTTCATAATTATATGCACTTGTAGGCAAAAACTTATTAGAAATAATCCAAAAGGGTGAAACACAATGAAACAAGTCCACGAAACATATAGAAACTAAACAGACTAAACAGACTAAACATAACGTTTGTCAATAGACAAAAACAGTAAACCCATCTGTTGGGTAGGCCTTATGACATGAAAAATTTAGGCATTTTCTTACGAAATCGACAGCTCTTAGGCTTACTACATTCACAACAATGTCTAAATCAAGAAATTTGAAACTCATTTTGAAAAAGTAAATACCTTCTAAGATCTGGTGGAAGTGGCTTGGTGAGGTGAAGAAGAGAGCATGAAGATCTGGTGGAAGTAGCCGGTTGACAGAGCCAACGGCGAGAGAAAGAAGAAGAGAGCCAATCAGCCAAAAAAAGCTCAGCTCGGTTTAAGAACTGTACTAATTTGTTTTTGGTAAGACTGTACGTTCATATATTCCTATTTTATATATGTATTTCCTAAAATTTGAAATTTGAAACTAATTTTCCCTCCAATTCTTTCTGGCACTTTTGCGTCCTTTTGCAGTGAAGTCTTCGTTTCTTTCTTCTTTGACCTGTGTTGTTAATTTGTATATTTTGTAACGGCTGGTCTGACATACTAATCCCATTGGGATTATGATATCTATAGTTCTATAATATAGAATTGTGTTCTTTAATCATTACCAATTTCTAATTTTTCACTCCTCTTGTTTATTTTGATTTTGGCACAAGTGATATTGGAAAGGTCGAATTCAAAAACAGGACTTCCGATGCAGGGAAAGCTGCTCTTAACTATTTGAGCTACATGTCCCTTGCTTCCACTCTTCTTGCTTAATTCATCCAAAAATTCCAATAGTGCCACATCTATGACGACCTTTCCCCAAATTTAAGAAAAATTTGGATTTATGAATGGTGAGGGTCATTAAAGATGTGGCACTCTTACCTGTTGAAATTTGAGCATATGAAGTATATATGCTAAAATTTCAACAAAAGAAAAGTATATAAAAAAAAATCTGATAAGAGTATCCAAATCCGTATATCAGGAAATAACAAGCACGCAAAAAGAGCAGGTAACTGGTGGGCTAATACAGTTGTTGACAATTTAGCTAATTTGGGTCATTATTATGATCACTCTTGTATTTGGTTTTGTAATTTTCCTACCATTGTTCTTTCTAAGTTAAAATTTGACTTGTACCATAGAGAATCATCTTCATAGTAAAGCAAGACAACATGCATTTCGAGTATTTTCAATTGCATTTAGTCAAAAAGATCAAACTGAATTGATCAAAAAAAATAAAATTGAACTTGAAACTCAACAAAAAAATGACCTTCTCCATATGTATAACCAAACAGAACTTTGCACTTAGCTTCTTAGGTATGTAGGCACAAATAAACACAAAAACTAAACAATTCAAACAAAACTTAGCAAGCAACAAGCATATAACAAGTGAAATAGGGAGAAGAAAGGCCTAATCAATCCTAGTGAAATTTACCATTAATACACAGAGAAATGAAGATAAAAATCAAAGAGAAGATATCATGAAATAAAACCTTGGACATTACTAAAACTTGATAGCTGTGGAGTAAACCAAAGCAAATCACAAATTTTACCAGATCAAAGAATAATACAATTGAAGCAGACCAAGTAAAAACTATGTTCAATTCTTCTTTTCACCGCCCTTTTGCTTTTTAGATGCTGTTGCCTGTGAATACAGAAAAGTCCCAAATATCGCAAGGGCGGATCCAAGTGCATTAAGAGGTCTAACTGGATTTCTGAACACCAACACAGTAGATACAATTACCACCACTCTCTTCATTGTGTTTCCAACTGAAAATGTCAAGGGGCTAATTTCATCAAGAGCCTGATAAGATGACTGGTTATAGAGATGGTAAAACACTCCAGATAACAACACCCATAGATAAAATGTGGATGGTTTTCCTACAGTTGCAATAGCTCTGTGATACCCTTGAACCCATTGAGACCCTTCAACAAAAATAGCAACAGGAAACAGATAGAGGAGTGAAAGTATAGTGATCCAACCATACAAATTCAACCCATCTACCTCCTTGAAGTTCTGTAAACTGCGTTTTGAGTAAATATTCCTCAACACAAACCCAACATTGCTAATCAATGCACCCCACAGGCCTTGGAAATTGAATGACACCTCAGTAATTGCAGCTAGAGAACAACCCAAGACAATAGGGACGATTGAAAGCCAGACCTGTAAAGGGTACGAATCGCCTAGGAAAGACGAAAAGACAACCGAGAAAACAGGCTCTGAAGATTTGATTACGTGGGTGAAAGAAACAGCCACCTTAGAGAATGAGACACATGCTGAGATGTGGCCTATTGTGTGGAACAATGCAGGTCCAAGGAGTGCAACTATGAATGGTTTTGATATTTTGGGGCATGGTTGGAGCTTCAAAGACCAGAGAACCAACATCCAAACAGACCCAGCAAAGAGCTGAAATGAAGCAAGAAGCCATGGAAATGGGAAAATATTTAATATCTTCTTGTTGTAAATGTTAAAGACAATGTTCTGGAAGTACCAGAGCCCAAAAATAAGTGCAAGCTGGGCGGTTGTGGCCTTGGGCTTTGAAACTGCAGCTTCACTTTCTCCTCGTTCTGGATTGGCTTCAGATGCAGCTTTGGGGATTTGGGATCTGGGTTTGGAAGAAAACCCAGATGGGAATCCACAGGTTTTGTTCAATTGACTGATCTTTGAGCCCCAATCTTGGACCTGAGATATGGGTTTTGAAGAAATTCCAATTGGGTGGCCATAAATTCTGCTAAAGCTTGAGACTTTGGTGGATGCTTCAAGTTTGGGAGAGGTGGGTTTGTGGAGCAGAGGAGATGAGGTGTGTAGGGTTCTCTGGATTCGGATTCGGTTGAGAAGATTCGGATTGAGAAGTGAAGAGGAGGCATTAATGGGGTGTTGATGTCTGGATTGGGAGAAAGTGACAGTGGAAGAAGGACAACTTAGATTCAAGATAAGCATTTGTTGTTGTAGCTATTGGTTGGGGAGAGAGAGAGACAGAGATTCTGCAATAAAAAAACACCAACAAGCTCTGGAGATTGAGGACGAGATTTTTCACTGGTTTAAAGTGCCCTTTTCGTCCCTTTCAGCTTCAGGTACTTGCTTAGATACTTTTCTGTTCTTGCTTAAACCCACCTTTCCCCGACCCACCCAAGCCAAAACTTAAGGGGGGTGTATTCAATTAAGATTTTAACAGATTGTAATTACATGATTTTAATGTAATGGATTTCAACCGGATTTGTAATTATATGATTTTGCTTATGATTTTAATAGATTGCAATTACATGATTTTACTTATGATTTTATTCACTTATGATTTTACTTATGATTTTAATAGATTATAATTACAGGATTTTATTTCTATGGGAGTATGTTTGCTCACCACATTAACCAATAAAATCTCATAAACCTTTCTGCCCACTTTGCAACATAATATTTATAATATTATAAAAATGTTATTAAGGAGAGTGTATTCAATTAAGATTTTAATGGATTATTTTGAAGCTTAAAAGTACAGCAGTATTCAATTAGGATTTTTAAGTAAACAATAAAAGTCTGGTGGTATTCAATTAGGATTTTTAAATAATCAATACAAGTCCGATGGTATTCAATTAGGACTTTTAATAGATAAAAAAAAGTACTGTGGTATTCAAAAACTTACTGATTTTAATGTATTTCATTAAATGGTGTATTGTGTGAGACTTTTGAGTGTGTGATATATATACCAAATCACATAACAAATCACACCCTCCTATGCATGATTCTCATATATGCTCTCATACTTTTTCTTCCCCATTATTTTTTCATGCCTTTTATTGTATTAAAAAAAAAAATTCATAAGAGAGACGATAAAGGGT